AGTAAGGCACTTGTTACTAGAAGCGATGCACTTGTTCCTAATAGCTTGTTGTTACTACTAGTAAGGCACCTGTTACTACTAGCGTGGCACTTGTTACTGCTCGTTTGCCCAGTTAACCCCCGAGCAACCCGGTTCAAGCCGCTATTCTTGGAGCTAAAACAGTCACTGGAAGTACTTGGCTTGACGATGCCCGATTTGTTGGGCGGTCAATTGGGATTGCGGAGGAACACAAAATTTTGCAATGGCCGTTCGTGCACTCATTGCTCACTCAGGGCACTAAGGAAGCGGTTTCCAAGGCAGTACGTCTTTGGAAGCGCCAGGTTGTTGAACCTGCCGCCCGTGCCCTTGAAGCCTCTTGGTTCCAGATGCAGTCTGAGCAAGGCCCTGGCATCTGACGCGGTGTTAAGCGTGATGACCCACGCCTGTCGGTCCAAAGAGACATGGCACTATGCACTACGCTCGGGCATGGATGGTAGCCCGGTTGTTTGGGAAGATTCCATCGGCTGTGTTTGGCCGCCCTGATTTGGTGCACCGACCATATTGCCCGTTTTGCCTGGCACCTTTATCCCTGGAACATATCTTGAGTTGCCTGCACCTTAATGCCGAGTTGGGGCCTTGCAACGATATCACGAGCTGGCCGATGATTCTTGACAGCTCCTTACTCTTGCGGGTCACTCGGACTGGTGGCGCGGTCGCCCTTCTCTGCAGAGGAGTGTGAGAGAAAAACGCTCCTTGGGTTCTTGTGGCACCGTTTCCGCTGGCCACTTTGGCACAGGAAAGGTGTCTTGTCTTGCGGGCGCCGCCTGCCATCTGAGGGGCCTCCCTGACCTGCGGGGTCTCCTCAACTAACAAAGCCTCGTCATGGCCCTTTTCTCGGACTTTTTCCCCAGGTGAGGGTTGTTAGATTTTATGTCAGCCCCATCTCCTCCTCCTCCGCCTCCTTCTTCTCCTCCTCGTCCTCCTCCGCCGGACCTCAACCACGACCATCCACGCCACACCTCAACCACGACCATCCACGGTGAGGGTTCTGTGCCGGACCTCAACCACGACCTTCCATGCCCAGTGTTCCCTGCCGGACCTTAACCACGACCATCCGCGCCCAGT